CAACTGTCCCCTTCCTCGCTGGTCTGGGCATCTCCCTCCCTATGACGCCCCGCGGCCCTCGCGTGCTCACAGCTCATGGATGCACTGACGTCCGGCCGAGGGTAAGCGTATCCGGGTCCGTTGCCATACAGGATGGACGTGTAGGCCTTGCCGTCCGAAGCTTTGCCCTCCGCCAGCCCTGTGAAGGGGTGGGACCGTGAATGGGGGTGACCACAGCTGGTGGACGCCCCCCACACAGGCGGGCCCTATGGGCTGGACTCTGGCCCTGCTCTACCTAAGATGGAGGTCCCCCGAAGGGTGTAGCCGCCGAAGGTGAAGACGTGGGAGTGGTCAGCAGTGACTAGGGTCATCGTGTCCTCCTCGCTGGTCATTTCGCCCGCCTTCTCGATGGAGTCGTCGAACATGATAGCTTCTGTCAGCGCCAGGTAGCCGATGCTTTCGTGGTGACCATGGTCAATGCGTCCCCCTGTGGTACGCATGGCAGGCAGATGACTCCCAGCCTGTTCCACCACCACCACCACCACCACCACACCACCACCACACCCCACCACACCCCTGCTGTTCCCTCGGCCACGCCCCCTCACCCTCCACAAAGAGGTAGAAGCCGCGGGGGTTCCTGCTGAGCAGCCGCAGGGCCGCCTCGGTCATGTCCATCAGAGAGGGGTCCTGGTTGGGGTCTCGGTTCACATCATATTTTGTGTCTCCCGGCTCAAAGAGGCCTGTGGGAGGGAAGAGGCAGGGATGGGTCAGGAGCAGGAAGGTGGGGGGTGGAGGATGGGCAGGAAGGTGGGTGGACAGGTGAGGGTCCTCACCCATGATATGGGTCACCGAGGGATCCTGGGATGCTTGCAGGAGGGCTGTGCGGTTCCACACGTACCGGGCCCCCTGAAAGGATAGGAGCAGCTCAGCCCACAGCCCACAGCCCACAGCCCGGAAGCCCCTGCCCCGCACCCCTGGGCCTGCTACCTGGTGTTTGTCCAGCCACTCCTGGACCAGGTTCCGGCCGTCCAGCCTGAAGCCACTCTGGCTTGGGTACTCGGGGTCTGGGGTCCACCTGGGGAACATGTACTTGCGGCCCCCGCCCAGGATCACCTGCGATCAGTGAATGGAGAGGTGAATTTGGGGCCTGGCTGGCCCTGTGCCCCTCTCCCTGTCCCCTCCCAGGACCACCAGGGAAACCCAGGCGGGTCCCAGGCTCAGGCTGCTGCCTCCCGCTGCCCTGTGCTCACGTCGATGTCTACGTTGCTGATGAGCTGCACAGAGATGTCTGGACAACCCTCCTGCAGGGCCTGGGCAGGCATGTCGGCGTCTGAGTACCAGTCTCGGCTCACCACATGGGCGTAAGTGCCGGCAGGTGAGGCATGCTGCACTCGGGTGGTGGTGACCACGCCCACGGACTTCCCTGAGGGAAGCAGGTGAGGGTTGGGGGCTTAGGGTGGCAAGTCAGTTTGGGGTGGGGTAGATGTCCCTGCCCAGAGGCCTTGCCCTCTGCCCACCTGCTTTCTTGGCCCGGCTCAGCACTGACTCCACTTCGTTCCCATAGGTCGTGTTGCATTCCTCAAAGCGCGCAGCCGCACTCAGGCCAATGGTCTTGTAGTTGCCCTTGACCCCACACAGGTAGGCCGTGGCTGTGCCTGCGCTGTCTGGCACCTGTCTGTCCACGTTGTATGTCTGGGGACAGAGGTTCCTTCAGGTGGAGCTTGAGGACACACTCTCTGGGCCCATGGGCCCATGCACATCCTTGGCCCTAACCCAGACCCACCCTCTGGGTTCTCTAGCTCCCACGCCCCCTTACCTTGGAGAGAGCCAGGTACGGGAAGAGGTCCATCGCCAGCGATGTCTCAGGCCCCGGCTTACCATTCAACTGCCCTTTCAGGATCCGTGTGGCTGTCACCGTGGACACCCCCATCCCTGAACAAATGGAAGCTGTCAGGCTTGAGGCTGAGACTGCTTCGTTTGTGGCCATTGGCAGCTGGGGGTGAGGGGCTGTGGGGACCAAGGTGGGCAGGCAGGCCTCTCAACTCACCGTCTCCCAGGAAGAGGATGAGGTTCTTGGCGGCTCTCTGGCTGGGCTGTAGCTTCTTGGCAGCATCCAGGACCTGGGCTGCCTGTTGGTTCCAGAAGGCCGGGTTCTCCTCCTCGGCTAGCCACAGGGAAGCAGAGGCAGGGTCAGGCTGAGGCAGACCCTCGTGTGTTGGGGCTGGGTGTGTGGGGCTTCTTACCTGGGATGACGCCGAGGGAGAGGTGTATCTCCAGGCCCAGCAGCAGCAGAGCCCCCCAGGTCCCCTTCATGTCTGTGGAGGGATGGAGGTGGGCCCGACCGGGAGCTGGAAACTCAGACAGTGAGGAGGCAGGACACCAGCTGTGGGTCCCAGCTCCTGGCAGAATCAAGGAGAGACTTCTGTCCTGGCTCTTATAGCCGCTTGACTCCTCCCAGCACCCCTGGCTACCCTGCAGATCTCATCCCAGCCTCCTAAGCTTCAGCCCCGGGGTTAATCTGTTGTTGGGTCTCCTTGAGTGGATTCAGTCTCATCGCGACCCTGATGTCCTATAGGAGGAAACCCTGCCCTCACTTGTTCTTGTGCTTGAGCCGTGTTTACAGCCACTCTGTCCATCCATCAGATCAAAAGTCTTCCTCCCTTTGGTTGTCTTTCTACTTTACCAAGCATGATGTGCTTCTGCAGGGGTGGGTCTCCTGATAACATGTCCAAAGTACCTGAGAGGAACCCTCACCATCCTTGCCTCCAAGGAGCACTCGGGCTGCACTTCTTCCAAGACAGATTGGCTTGTTCTTTGGGCCGTCCCAGGGACTTTCAATCTTCTTTGCCAGCATCGTAGTTCAAACGCATCTACTTTTCTTCGATCTTCCTGATTTAATGCATGACTTTCACATGCATAGGAGGTGATTGGAAATTCCATGGCTGGGGTCAGGTGTAACTTAGTCCTCCCAGTAACACCCCTGCTTTTCAATCCTCTACCAAGGTCTGTGCAGCAGATTGAGCCTGTACACTCTATCCTCCGCTCTCTTGACTGCTGCTTCCGTGAGCATCGATGGTGGATCTAAGCGAGAGGAAATCCTGGACGATTTCTATCTTTTCTCCATTTACCATGGTGTTACCTGCTGGTCCAGTGGTGAGGACTGTGGTCTTCTTTACATTGAGCCGCAATCCCCATTGAAGGCTGCCTCCTTCATCTTCATCCGCAAGGGCTTCAAGGCCCCCTCACTTGAAGCAAGCAAGGTTGTATCATTTGCATACAAGTCCTCCTTCCATCCTCATGCTGCATTCTTTTCACATAGGCTAGCTTCTGGGTTTATTTGCTCAG